AAGGGGAGGGGACCTCTGCTCCTTAGAGTTGTGCTTTGTGACTGGGATCCCGACACCTGCCTTCCCACCGGCCCAGGCCCAGCTGCTGAGCCTGCAGAGGGGGGCGTGGCGTGTGCACCCCGGGAGAGGTCACGTGAGCCCGAGGTGGGGGCCTGCACGGCGATTTCAGGTGGTACCTGGCGGGATATGTTTCATCCTGCTAGTTCCGCTTTCCTTTTATCCCAAGCACAACAACGAGGACATCAAACCCGTGGTGTCACGGACATTGCTGCTTAGGATGAAGCTGAGAGAGAGTCTAAAGGTGACTCCGAGAAAAGGAATGAAGTGCCAGGGGTCAAAATGGCGACTGTGGGAACGGAATGCCCAAAGTCTGGGAGACAGCGTGGGCAGCCCTGGGTCTAGTTTCTCTCTGTGACTCCCAGAGGCAGGGGGAGGGGGTGCAGGCTCTCCCATTATGTCATCAGGACGTGGCAGGTGTGGGCTCCAATGTCTGCGGCTTCGAGGGCTGGCAGGGGTGCCCCCACCTGCCCCAGGCCTGCCTTGGGGTTGGCCTCTGTCTCAGCCCCTTCATGGGCCTTTCACCAAAGTCGCTGAGGACATGTTGGTGGCTCATCAATTCTTCTTATCGCAATGATAACTACTTATTAAGTGTCTGTATGTGTCAGGCACTTGGCCTGCATTCTCTTAATCCTCCCGTACCCTGTGGGGGTGGCACCAGCTGGTGGAGACTCTGCCCCTTTCTGGAGCGCTTTCTAGGACGTGGGGAGCCACGTGTGGCCGAGCCCTGGGCCGAGCATCTGCCCTGAGGGCGCCGCACTTGCTACCTCCCAGAGAGGTGGCAGCCTGCCCACTGCGAGTGAGGCAGGTTTTGGGGTGCACAGAAGCAGGAGGGGCCCCTGCTTGCCCTCGTCCTCCCTGACGGGGCCTGAGTAGCTTAGTAAGCGTTCAGGGTACGTCTGAGTCACGGGCAAGGCCCTGGGGTGTCAGAGGGGAGCCCCACTGGCCCCAACCCAAGCCCGTCTTCCCGAATGCAAAACTGGACGAGGCCAGGCTCTGCCACAAGAGCTGCTCACCTTGGACGAGCCATGTCACCGTCCTACACCTCAATGGGCTCATCTGCAAAATGGGTATAACAGCCTCATCCCTGGCCGGGTTATGGCAGATGACGCTTCAAAACCGGAGGGTCACTGAGACACGGGGAGCGGTGGAGATGGGGGCGCCCAGATTATGAGAGCAGAGTTCCCCCCACCCCGCCCCTTAACACTGTAGACTCACTTGGAGGGACACCGGCTAAGGCTGTGGCTTCTGTCCTCTCCGTGGGTTCAAGGTCAACTCTGAGGGAACATGAGCTCAGGGGAGAGAAATAATGAGGACGGGGAGGTGCACAAGTCCGACGAGAGGAGAGCCCTAAGGCGAGCGGTTGTGAGCCCCACAGGGGTGTGCGCAGTGGGGAGAACTGGAATGAGCACAGGAGGGGTGAGGGGATGGTCCTGGAGGCAGGAGGCAGCCACCGGCGGCTGCGGAGGAGAGCCAGCCACACCTTTGGGGTCTGGAAGCCATAATGGGTGAAAGAAGAGAGCTTAGCAACGCAGCGACGTCGCTGGGACAGCCCCGAGTAGCAGGGCGGGCGCGCCTGTGTGCACGCTCCTGTGGCGTGTGCTCACGTGTGCGCGCGGATTGAAGT